GCTTATGAAGCTTTGCAAGGTGTTGTTGGAATTAGAACTTATGTCCCAAGAACCAAAAGGCTTAACTTGTTGAAACGTGATTGGCGGAAGAGATTCCGGCGGTATTACCCAACTGTGGAGGATATTCCGGAGGTGGACGTTTATGGGTTATGGGCTTATGATGCCGCTTGGGCTTTGGCCACCGCCGTGGAACTCGCCGGCACCGACAACCTCCGATACACCGCCACCAAAATTAACTCATCGAATTATTTATTTAACGTTGGGGTTAATCAAAATGGTCCGAGGTTGCGTGAGGCCTTGTCGGATGTCACGTTCACGGGGTTGGCTGGTGAATTTAGTTTGATAAATGGGCAATTGCAATCGACCCTTTTTGAGATTGTGAATGTTATTGGTAATGGGAGGAGAAATGTGGGGTTTTGGTCGCCGGAGACTGGGTTGACGAGGAAGCTGGTTGATTCCGGCGGTGCGAAGGGGTTGCGGTCGATTATTTGGCCGGGGGAGCCGGTTGTTATGCCGAAAGGGTGGGAGATTCCGACGAATGGGAAGAAGTTGAGAATTGGGGTTCCGGTGAAGGATGGATTTTGGGAGTTTGTGAAGCTGGTAAGGGATTTTGAAACGAATGTAACGATTGGTGTTGAAGGATATTGCATTGATGTGTTTAAGGCTGTGATTGAGAAGTTGCCTTATAAGGTTGATTATGAGTTCGTTCCTGCTGAGAAATCTAATTCTGTCCCTGGTGGTAGCTACAATGAGTTCACTTATCAGCTCTTCCTTGGGGTAAGTGTCATAAGATTAGGTTAACATGTTCGTGAATTGTTAACGACCCTGTTGTTTATTTTGAGCGTAAGTTCTTATGACTTTACTTTTGGCTGCTGTAAAAGGCCTCATGCCATGATCAACCTCTTGATTAGCCGATGTGGGACTCATCTTCCAATGATTCTCATCTCGAACAAATTAGTATACCATAGAGCCTCCCCTGAGACCTATGGAGCCCTCGAATAGTCTCCCCTTAATTGAGACTCGACTGCTTTTCTGGAACCCTCGAACAAAGTACACCCTTTGTCTCAAACAAAGTACACCATAGAACCTCTCCTAAGGTCTATGGAGCCCTCGAACAACCTCCCTTTAATTGAAGCTCGACTTCTTCTCTAGAGCCCTTGAACAAAGTACACTCTTTGTCTCGAAAAAAGTATATCATAGAGCCTCCCCTGAGGCCTATGGAGCCCTTGATCAACCTCCCCTTAATTGAGGCTCGACTCCTTCTCTAGAGCCCTCGAACAAAGTACACCCTTTGTTTCAAACAAAGTACATCATAGAGTCTCCCCGTAAGCCTATGAAACCCTCGAACAATCTCCCCTTAATTGAGGCTCGACTCCTTTGGAGCCCGTGAACAAAGTACACCATTTGTCTCGAACAAACTACATCATAGAGTCTCCCCTGAGGCCTATGAAGCCCTCAAACAGCCTCCCTTTAATTGAAGCTCGACTCCTTCTCTAGAGCTCTCAAACAAAGTACACCCTTCGTTCGACACTTGAGTCACTTTTGACTACACTCTCGAGGGTCCCAATTTCTTTATTCGACATTTGAGAATTCTATTGACATGACTAAGTTAAGGGCATAACTCTGATACCATGTTAGGAATCACGACCCTTCACAATAGTGTGATATTATCCATTTTGAGCATAAACTCTTATCGCTTTGCTTTTAGCTTCTCCAAAAGTTCTCATACAATGGAGATGATCACTCCTCTCCCAACAATCCTCAACATAAATGAATGGTTAATAAGATGAATGCTATGAATGAACAGAAGTTCGATGCGGTGGTGGGCGACGTAACAATCCGGGCGAACAGGTCAACCTACATAGACTACACATTACCATTCACAGCATCCGGAGTGGTCATGGTGGTGCCAATGAAGACTGAGAAGAACACCAATGCATGGGTGTTCTTAAAGCCACTAACATGGAAGCTATGGGCGCTCACAGCCGGCTTCTTCCTCTTCATAGCACTCGTTGTTTGGATCCTAGAACACAGAGTCAACGAAGAGTTTCGTGGATCTTCATTGGATCAAATCTGCACCAGCCTCTGGTACTCATTCTCCACCATGGTTTTCGCTCATAGTAAGCAATCTCTCACCCTCAAGTTCTTCAGTTCATTCTGTTCTTGTTAATTTGTTAACATTTTAAAGAACTTTGTTGATGTTAGGGGAGGTTACTTTGAACAATTGCACGAGACTTGTGGTGATACTATGGCTGTTTGTGGTTCTTATCATTACTCAAAGCTATACTGCAAGTTTGGCATCACTTTTGACAGTGCAAGAGCTGAAGCCGAGTGTGAATGATATCAATTTGCTTCTTAAAAATGGAGAGAACATTGGGTACCAAGGAGGGTCTTTTGTGTATGAAATTCTTAAGTCGTTGAAGTTTGATGATTCTCAGCTTAAAACTTATGAGTCTGCTGAAGAACTGCATGAACTTTTCGTTAAAGGAAGTATGAATGGTGGAATTTCTGCTGCGGTGGATGAAACTCCTTATATTAAAGTGTTTCTGGCTCAGTATTGCTCTCAATATACCACCACTGAACCCACCTTTAAAGCTGATGGCTTTGGCTTTGTAAGTTCGTCTTTTCTTACTCTAACCGCAAACATATATGGTTCTCTTTGGGCTTTTACTTACGATTTTTAAAACATGTCTGCTAGGGAGAGGTTTTTACACCGTTCTACTCTCTAACCGATGTGGCATCTTACAATCTATTCCTTTCGAGGTCTAACGTCCTTGCTGACACACCCCTTCATGTTCACCTCCTTTGAGGCTTAGCCTCCTCGTTTGTACATCGCCCGATGTCTAGGTTTGATACTATTTCTGATTTGTGCGTGTCGTCTTTGCATAGGGGTTGTGTTAATCTTTTCTGTATTGTTCCTATTTTATTGAATTTCCCCATCGGTTGGAGAGAGAGGAACAAAGCACGATTGTATCAGACCCAAACATTGAGTAGGGTGCCAGCGAGACACTGGGCCTCCAAGTGGGGTGAATTGTGAGATCTCACATCGGTTGAAAAGAAGAACGAAACATTTCTTATAAGGGTGTGGATTGTATTAGAGGCTGACATCGGGCGGTGTGCCAGCGAGAACGTTGGGCCTCCAAGTGGGGTGGCTTGTGAGATCCCACATCGGTTGAATAGGAGAACAAAACATTCCTTATAAGGGTGTGGATTATATTAGAAGTAGACATCGGACAGTGTGCCAGCGAGGACGCTGGGCCTCCAAGTGGGGTGGATTGTGAGATTTCACATCGGTTGAAGAGGAGAACGAAACATTCCTTATAAGGATGTGGATTGTATTAGAGGCTGACATCGGGCAGTGTGCCAGCGAGGACATTGGACCTCCTTGGGAGTGGTTTGTCAGATCCCACATTGGTTAAAGAGGAGAAACGAAACATTCCTTATAAGGATGTGAATTGTATCAGAGCTAAACATTGAGCGATGTGCCAGCGAGGACGTTGGGCCTCCGAGGGGGTGGATTGTTAGATCTCACATCTGTTGGAGAGCAAAACATTCATTATAAGAGTGTGAAAACTTCTCTCCAGCAAAAGTTCAAACAGGAACAAGGACAATATATGTTAGCAGTAGGCTTGGATTGTTACACATACATCATGTCCACCTAGCGAGGCGGGGATAGAAAAAGGAAGCCTTTTCAATCTCCATTTTCAAAGTTAAATGAACATCTCTCATCATAACACGTGACCTTCTTTTTTAGGGATTTCCGATAGGTTCGCCTTTAGTACCGGACATCTCGAGGAAAATCTTAGAGGTGACGGAAGGCGAACGAATGAAAGAGATCGAAACCAAATGGTTCAAAAATGTGGAAGAATGCACAGCTTCAAAAGTGGCAGAATTATCTTCCACCCGCTTGAGCATCAACAGCTTCTGGGGACTTTTCCTTGTCACCGGCGTCGTTTCCCTCTCCTCCGTCGTTGCTTATATCGGCAAATTTCTCTACGACGAACAGCGTGTGTGGCGAAACAATGTCGAGCCTTCGATCTGGAGAGTATTCTGCGCGTTGATCCGCAAGTTCATGAAGAGAGATCCAACAGCTCACCCGCTAAGGCGAAGGGCATGCATGAATGATGTTCCTGTCTTAGCCAGAAGACGCAGTTTTTAGAGATTATCGTTGGTCTTTCATGTTATGGACATCATAGATATGTGTAGTTAATGATTCAAACATCAATAGAAGTTGAAATATTAAAAAAAAAAAAAAAAAAAAAAAAAAAATCAAGTTGAAACAAACATGTCTTGTTCTTCCAAAAAGTTTGGATCTTTGTTTTTTTTTTTTGATAAAATTAATAATGTGGGCTTGTTCTATTTTCAACCATTGGTCTCGACACAAGTTAATATAGAGGATACTTTCGTAATTTGGTGAATTGACAGAGCTCAAACGTGACTGAAATGCATTTTTAGTGTTGAAGTAATAAAAATGTGTTTAAAAATTCTAGATTCGCGATCGATACTAGTTAATAAAAATGTGCTTGACGAGACAGATCAAATGATTTGGAGGGAGAGAGTATGGTAGGACTGTATATGAGTTGAGTTAGGTTGTAAAAATCTTTTAAACCAACTCAAAATTTTGGGTCAAGTGGGTTTGGTAACTATAATAACCACTGCTATCAGATCTTTTCTTCGAGTTTTTTCTCCAGATTTTAAAACTCGTTTGCTATTATAAATAATGTTTCGTTTTCTTCCCTAATCGACATTGGATCTCACAATCTACCCATTCAGGGCCGAATGTCCTCGATGACACTCGATCCCTTCTCTATCGATGTGGGACTCTCAATCCACCCCTTCAGTGCCAAGCCGCCTCGTTGACACATCGCCCGATGTCTAGCTCTCTAATGCCAATCTATCACGATTCGAGTTTCGAAACCTCAAAAATTGTGTCGTGAGTAACCCTTCACAAATGTTACATTAATAACAGGTTTATATGATGATTATAAAAGTCCTAGCTAGGGTCGTAACCCCCTCCGCCCCCAAAATAATTGGCTTGCCGCCTTCGTTAACCGTAAAACCCGAGCTTTCATGACCTTTCGGCACCAATAAGCCATCAAACCGACGATGGAAGAAGCCGGCGCCAAATCTAGGAGGGGCGTCTCCTGCCTGTGCGGCATATGCAATAACAGGAAAGCTGCTCTCAAGAGGCCAAAAACCCTGCAACAGGTTTAATTTGCTTCCCGTCTTGTTTTTATTCTGATTTCTTCTTATTTGTTTCTCTGTTAGCTTTCGTCATACTTGCGTTAACGATCATCGGAAACCATTGAAGAATCAGGAACCCTGATTTCCGTTCATGTAATTAATTATACAATGTGGTCTGAATGTTATTTTGGACAGTTTGTTGTATTGTAATTCTAATAGAATGAACAGATTAACTATAGCGTTATGAAAAATCTTGCCATCAAACTGAAGGATTTAAGCCGATGATTTTCATATATCAATACTTTTAACTCTCCGCTCATTTGTAGGCTTGAAATTCTGCACGAGGTTGAACTAGTGATTATCGATATTAATTAGGGAGGAGATAACTCTACAGGGTTTCGAACACATGATCTTCTACTCGCATACCATGTTAAATCTTTATTGAACCGAAAAGCTTTAGTTGATGGGTGAGATTCCACATTGGTTGGGGAGAAGAACGAAACATTCTTCATCAGGGTGTGGAAACTTCTCCCTAGAAGAGGCATTTTAAAAACTTTGAGGGGAAGTCTGAAAGGGAAAGCCCAAAGAGGACAATTTCTGGTAGCGGTGGGCTTGGGCTGTTATAATATCCTACGTCACCATGTTTATTGCTTTTACAGATATGCAGAGAATGCTTCTATGAGGTCTTTGAAGAGGAGATCCATCAAGTTATTGTGAAGAATCATTTGTTCAGACCAGGGGAACGCATTGCTGTTGGTGCCTCTGGTGGAAAAGGTGGACACAAATTCTACTTAGTTCTAAATCGTTCTTGATCTTCAAGATTATGTGAATGGCCGTTGTTTCTGTTATTTATTGTCGCTATGCGTGCTTGTGGGAGTCTCTTTCTTTTTTGATGTGCTGTCACGCTCCCTTCCCGTCTATGGACGAAAGGGCAAGTCCTTGACTATATTCCCGATCGATCGGGCAAGCGGCTTGGCTTGATAAAAAAGTTAACTCCGACAATTTTCTTTTTATATTCTCTCATACAGGAGAGATAAATTTTGTAGATGTTTTTTGTACTATTTTTGGTTTAATAGTACCCGTTCCTATTATATTTACATTTACTATTGCCCATTTATGCAGATTCTACTGTTCTTGCATATGTGTTATCGGAATTGAATCGGCGGCACAATTATGGTTTAGACCTCTTTCTTTTATCAGTTGATGAGGGCATCACTGGATACAGAGATGACTCGCTTGAAACTGTGAAAAGAAATGAAATTCAGGTGAAAGGTCTTTCTTGTCTTGCTTTAGATATATTTTCCTGTTTCCTTATTTCTTGATTTCTCTATGATTCTCTCTACGAGCTATAATATTATGACAGAAACAAATAATTTGTATGGGGATTGTCCATTCTCACTTTAATTATTCGTTTTTCAGTATGGATTGCCACTACAAATTGTATCATACAAGGATTTATATGGATGGACAATGGATGAGATAGTGAAGATGATTGGCTTAAAGAATAATTGCACCTTTTGTGGAGTTTTCCGTCGGCAGGTGTGAAACAACTACTCCTGCTATGACTTCACAGTATATTTTCTGGCATTGTCTACATTGTGCATAGTTTCTTCCATGGGTATAGCAAATGTCATTTGAGGCTTACTTTTTATTCAACGAAATTGCGGTATCTAAGTTAGGATATGATGTTGATACCGCCCCAGGAAAAGAAAATATAAACAAAATGGCCAGGCTATGGTGGTATTATAATTCTGAGCTGTGTGTGCCTCCTCATGGATCGAGTGCTTTTATAATTTGTGTTACGCTGTTAGTTAATTGCAGGCCACCCTGTCTTGACATAGGTTTTGTGTGTTTCTATTAAGGCTTATGGCCTCCTTTCTCATGTTTGATTTACTTGTGAACTATCACTAGGGGTTTAGGTGGCTTAGTTGTAAACGGAATTGATGGTTCGATTGAATTGTCAATTTGGTTTGTGTAACGGCCCAGACCCACCGCTAGCAGATATTGTCCTCTTTGGGCTTTCCCTTTCGGGCTTCCCCTCAAGGCTTTAAAACGCGTCTACTAGGGAAAGGTTTCCACACCCTTATAAATGGTGGTTTGTTCTCCTCCCCAACCAATGTGGGACATCACAGTTTGGCAGTTTGATGATTCATTGTTGAGTCTTTGGGTTGGGTGGTGTAACAACCCAAGGCCACCTCTAACAAATATTGATCGCTTTGGTCCCTTACGTATCGTTGTCCACATCACGGTTTTAAAATGTGTATGTTAGGGAGAGGTTTCCACACTCTTATAAGGAATGCTTCGTTCCCCTCTCCAACCGATGTCGGATCTTACAAGTGGGGTTGAACCATGAAAAGTAGGTAAGGGGACTCATGAAGGGCTCGGCTGCTAGGCTATTGATGTTTTATCATTCAATTGGTCAGTTGAGACCCTTAAATTGAAACTAACCAATTTTCGTCGGCTTTTACAATGTTGTAAACCAAAAGTGACCAACATACACCAAACCAACCTAAGGTTGGCTTTATTGGTGTCGTTGTTTTAGTTTGCACCTTTAATTATCATGCAATCATTTTCTCATTCTTTTGTGGCAAGCACGGGAAGATACGTAGTACTAAGATGTCGAGACGTAAAACCAGCCATAGCAAATCAATTAGATAGACATTACTTCTTCGTGTCTGCTCATTTCATGTATAAATGTGATGGGTACTATGAATTAAGATGTGTATTCAGCATTATTTCATTGAAGTAATAGATCTTTTTCTCCTGAAGGCTCTTGATAGAGGTGCTGCATTGTTGAAAGTAGACAAGCTTGCCACCGGACACAATGCAGATGACATGGCTGAAACGGTTCTATTGAATATATTACGAGGCGACATAGCAAGGTATTCTAATATTACGAGATCACTTTCGATCTCTTTCATTTTGAACTGAGGTTAGACTGAACCAATGCTTTGAGTTTATAGATTGAGTCGATGTACTGCTATAATAACCGGCGAAGATGGACCGATTCCAAGATGCAAACCTTTCAAGTACACATATGAAAAGGAGATAGTTATATATCCTTTTATTGTAGTCTCATACTTCTTAAGCAAATGTTTGTTTCTTGTGCTAGTTGTAAAACCTTAACCAGATATTCACGTATGCTTATTTTAAGAAGCTCGACTACTTCTCCACCGAGTGTAAGCGTTTCTCATTTTAGCTGTTCTTTGTTTTCTTATTTTCCTCACATTTCTGTGTCTTCTAAATGATAATAAAGTTCATTAGATTCAATTTTGTTGCCATAAACTTGATGTCCTAATGGGTTTAGTCAACTATGAAATTGAATGGTTGAGCAACAAATGATCTATCAAAAATACATTATCAAGCATGAATTCATCGATTTTAGGTTCCAAAACTAGTTTTGTCTATGATTGACTTTTGTGAGATCCCACATTTGTTGAAGAGGGGAACGAAGCATTCCTATAAGAGTGTGGAAACCTCTCCCTAGTAGACACGTTTTAAAACCATGAGGTTGACCCGATACGTAATGGGCCAAAGCGGACAATATCTACTAGTGGTAGGTTTGGGCTGTTACAACTTTTCATTGTTCTAAAGCAATCATTTTCTTCCGTGGTGCTATCGTCTGAGGTGACATGTTGATGTTATAATAACTTATGCTTTTTCAATGAAATGTTCGACGTATTCTCGTGTCTTAGCCTCACATAGTCTTGCCTAGAAAATTAGACTTTACTTTGTTCATCTCCACATTCCTTTGAATATTTCTTTTGAAATTGTAGGCATTTATTCTCCTAATGCTTATCGTGGTTTCGCTCGTGAATTTATCAAGGATTTGGAACGAATCAGGTTTCAATTCACCTCGTCATTGCTTGACAAATGTTTATCCTTCTCATTGCTGACAAGGATTCTGTTCCCTATGATTTGCGCTCACTAGTTATGAACACTGTTGCAGACCTAGGGCCATTCTCGACATCATTAAATCGGGCGAGGATTTCAGGATTTCCACCTCGACAAAAATGCCCGAGCAAGGGACATGTGAACGATGCGGCTACATTTCAAGCCAGGTGTGCTTTGCTCTCATTTTACCTGATAACAAAAAATTGCCAAGATGGACGTAGCAGGGGATTATTCACTTAATAGCTATAATGCATTCCTAATAGATATACTCAACTTGGTTTGAGCCAATATTATCATCTGAATCTGGTCATACAGCTGCACCTCCTCATTTGTCAGCTGTATGTAGATTGTTTACTATTCGCTTGATCTAGAAGTATTTGCGATCTGCTTTCGATTACGTTTTCTGTTCCTCACCATACCTTCTGAAATTCATTGTAATAGTCCGAACTCACTGTTAGCAGATATTGTCCTCTAGGTTTTCTCTTTCGGGCTTCCCTTCAAGGTTTTTAAAACGTGTCTGTTAGGGAGAGGATTCCACACCCTTATAAATAATGCTTCGTTGCCCTCTCCAATCGATATGGGATCTCACAATCCACCCCCCTTCGGGGCCAGCTTTCTTGTGGGCACTTGTTCCCCTCTCCAATCGATGTGGGATCTCACAATCTACCTCCCTTCGAGGCTCAACGTCCTTGCTGGCACACCGCCCAGTGTCCACCCCATTCGGGGCTCAGCATCCTTGCTGGCACACTACCCGATATCTGGCTTTGATACCATTTGTAACAGCCCAAGCCCACCGCTAGCAAATATTGTTCTCTTTGGGCTTTCCCCTTTGGACTTCCCCTCAGGTTTTTAAAACGTGTTTGCTAGGGAGAGGTTTCCACACCTTGTAAAAAAAACTTCGTTCCCTTTTCCAACCGATGTAGGATCTCACACTTATCAATTGAATTTTGTTTACAAGAAACTGTAACTACTTTATGTGATATATGCAAGATCCCACATCGGTTGGAGAGGGGAACAAAACATTCCTTAAAGGGTGTGGAAACTTCTATCTAGCAGATGCGTTTTAAAACCTTGAGAGAAAACCCGAAAGGGAAAAGCCCAAAAAGGACAATATTTGCTACAGTGAGCTTGAGTTGCTACAATATATGTCCCCAACCCCCTCATTTTTAAACATTGCTATTGGTGAATTAAAATTGTGTTCAAATATGAACCATTCCCGTAGATTTCTTCCCCAAAGTAAACCTTTTACCAACTTACTTTCATACAATTGGAGATCTGAGCATCTGTTATCTTTATTTTACCTAATGCAGAAATGGTGTAAAGCATGTGTTCTGCTCGAGGGCCTTAACCGAGGTTTGCCGAAGTTGGGTATTGGGCGGAGTCGAGGTCTTGACAACGAGACGGAGAAGAGGGAAATGAAGGGAAGAAGTAGTGATGGACAAACGAGAAGCATTGAGAGCAAACAGTGTGGCACTCTTGACTTCTGAAGCTTTTCTGCATTCTTAGCTGTAGCAATGGTGATCAAAATACCAGATGAAAGCCGAGGATTTATCAAACAAGAATTGGCATGCGTTAACGACATTCTTCGTTGCTTCGGTTCGATGATCTCAGCTTTTCTTGAAAATAGAGAGAGATGCAAATGGAGAAAAAGAAATAGATCAGCACCTAATACAAACACTGAAGTTCATTGAGAAACTCTAGGGATCTATGTAGCCGTTTTTTTCCACATAAATCTTAATATATTCTCGTCATTATAAAATCTAAGAGAAGTTTTCACACCCTTATAAGAAATGTTTCGATCTTCCCTCTAATCGACGTGGAATCTTACAGTTCACCTCATTGGGAATCCACAATCTCGCGATTTTAAAATGTGTCTGGAACAGTTTTCACATCTATTAAGGAAATTCTGGGATTCTGGGATGTTCATAAAAAATAAAAATTACGACCAACATTAACAAACAAACAGTGGAACTGTGAGTTGTGCGGTGGAATTAAACCTAACATTAAGGAATTAAACCTAAAATTAATGTGACATTGATGTTCATCATTTATTAGCTTTATCTAATTATACAATTAGTGTGCAAGCAATCACAAAATTTATTAATTCAACCTTTTTAGAGAAATCAATCATTTACTCAAATAGTAATTACATAAATTAAAGCAAAAGGCTCCATTTTTATAAAATAATTAAGGAACAAAAATAAAAAATTATTATTAAACTCATTTATATCCATTGTTAAATGTAAAAATGAGTGAATAATAAGCCAAAAAAAAAAAAAAAAATTTGATGGGTTTTCAAATTTTTTTTTCTTTCTTACTATTTTAAATTTATTATTATTTTTTATCCTAACATCATTTATTCTATTTGTTAAACCAACTCACAAATCTAAAAATTTGGGCATATTATTTATAATATAAATAAAAATTTAATTAGTTAAAATTATTTTCACAATTTGTCTATTTGTCTTAAGGAGAAAGAGCAGTTCAAGAGTCAAATCAGTAGGAGAAGGAGTTCCGGGTCAGGCAATGGACTAGCATACAGCCTATCTTTACTGTTCAAGAATAGGTTAATCCAGCCCAGCCTGTTCGTTCCGTAAACTCTCTCTCTCTCTCTCATTCATCGATAGTGTTTACAGTTTCATTCTTCTTTCTTCTCCCTTCTTTCATCACAACCAGTGTCAGACGTAAGGAGTTATGGCATTTTTGTCTTAATAGAGGTAAACTAACTCACATTATCCTATCCACGTACGAGTCATTTCAACATATTTTGTCTTCATTTATATAAATTAAAGTAATATTTCCAAGAAATTACACGAGATAAAATTGAGCATGCTTAACTTTAGAATTTCTATGGTTAAACTACGGACGAGGAAGAGGATATAGACAGTAACTTTCAAATTTTTAAAATTTTTCTTAGCAATTCTATTTTGAATAAGGCTCTTATTGGTAGGTCTTGATTCATTCATGCACAATTCATTCATCCAAGCATCCCGAACAATAAAAGGAAGTAAAAAAGAACAAGCATCAACGGAGCTGGGCTAGCTGCAGCGCCGCCATAGCCGCCGTGGTATTGGGTCGCCGGCAAAAGCAAAAACTCGCCTAAAGAATCCTGCTAATGAGATATTACTAAGATTAGGTTAGAGCAGCAGCAGCAGCATGGGGTTTGTCAGGCTTTAATCATCAGCCCACGTACATAAATCAATGCCTGCGTCTTTATAAATATAGGGACAATCAAAATTTCAACTAAAAATCTGGTTTTTACTGTATAATGGTAAACTTCATAACTTTCAAACAAAAACCCTATATTCATCGTTTGAAACACTCTTGTCACGAATCTCCACAATAGTATGATATTGTCTATTTTGAGCATAAGCTCTCATGACTTTACTACGGACTTTCACTAAAAAACCTCATACGAATGGAGACGTATTCCTTACTTAAATTAGCCAACGGGCTCACTCCCGACAATTCTCGACACACCCAATTTTTTAAAACCCATGATAGGACTAAACTCACAAAACCCACAAGCAATTCAGAAAAAAAAAAGAAAAAAAAAAAGATGATTTTGCTGATGAACTAAAACATGAAACAAGTCGAAAGTGAACGTTTCTGATAAGGGTGTGGAAGCTTCTCCATAACCGATACGTTTTAGGGAAGTCGAGAAGGGAAAGCCAGAAAAAGACAATATTTGATCGTGAGGGTGTTACAAAGAGGAGCCAAACAGAGCTCAGTTGGCAGTATGCCCACCTCCAAATGAAAGAAGAAAGTGTTTTTGGATGTTTCGATGGAGAAGGAGGTGGACAGAATGCCAATAAATTCTGTTGGAAACCCTTTGAGAAACCCCCACGAAGCTTCACAAGAGACAGCCATGGAAGAACAAAGAAACAAGGAGATGGCAAGCATTTAAGAAGGAAGAAGAGGAGAGAGAGTCAATGGTTGTGGTGGGTGTGTGAGTAATTAATTTAAGAAGTGAACGAGCCAAAACAAATAATATCTGCTATTGTGACGAGCCAAACACCGAATAGGGTATTAGTGAGGACGCTGGCCTTCAAGGAGGTGGGTTTTGAGATCCCACGTCGATGGAAGACGGGAACGAAGCATTTCTTATAAAGGTGTGAAAACCTCTCCTTAACAGATGTATTTTAAAATCGTGAGCCTGACGGCAATATGTAACAAGGTAAAACAGACAATATGATATCCTAAACAGAAAAAGTAGGGTTTACTTTGGATAATTAAAGTGTTTTGTTCATAGAAAAGTTTCTTTCCAAGAGGAAAAAGAGTACAACGTTGTGAAGTTGAAGAGTAGCTTTTAAGCATGTTTTGTTTGGAGTAATTTTATGTTGGGTGATCTCTCGAGAATTTTCCTCAGATGCATGTGAGAGAGGACAAAACATTCTAAAAAAACTCGTGTTGATCTGTGAGGATAATCATGTCACGGGAGATGTAGAGGAATACCTAAGCCATCAGGTACGTCAAATTAACAGTATTGATAGCACCTAAAATCAGGGTTCGTCCCAAGGATTAGCTAATGGTTGATTAATGTTTTCAAAAATTTGAGTTTATGCAATTCGACAAAGTTGAGATACCCTATCGTTATTTTGGCTCGTTCCTAGTCGGAGGGCTATTTCAAGATGGTTGGAGGCTTCTTCAACGACGATATCGAGTCCATCGAAAACAAGAGGGAAGAAGAGAACGGAGCGTTTAGTCAATAAATCGACACTCTTAGCTATTACATCATTCTACCATTCGTCGACTATCGTGAAACTTCAGAAACTAAATAGATATATTCCGAATATTTGGATAAAACTTTAAAATACAAAAAAAAAAAAAAAAAAAAAAAAAAAAGTAGGAACCAACCCACATAGCACTCGTGCCCTTTTCAAGCCTACTTTTTACATGCCTTTTTCCATGACTTTATATATTATCTCACCAACATAAAATTAAAGAGAATAAACTTTACATACAATTTCAACCCTATATACCACTTTAAAAACAACTTTTTTGCACATTTGTCTTGACATTCATGATTAAACAAATACATCAAACAACGTCAAATGCTGATAACCGTTCATGTCACTTGGCACAGCTCTCTCATAAGCTAGTTATAGCAGATGTAGTCTAAGTAAATGTGACTCGTATTGGTTTGTGGAGATAATCTCCATTCTTAGAAACAGTTTAAAATGAGTCAAGTAGATAATATGATCATATTGCATGGATGCATGAGAGTACTAAGATCATAAAATGTTGAATATGAATTCTGAATTCTGGGTACGAGACTTTACTGTCTAAGAACCCCTTTATAAGTTCGATATGGAGTAACGTATCCTTACGTTCACGACTGCCGTGGCAAGATCTTGTCTATCTAGCAACCTAGCACTTAAGTATCACCTTTACACTAGGGAGCATCTCAACTTTGCCCAAATATAGGTTTAGTGGCCTACACTGACTTTTGAAGCTCAGGCAGTCACCATTAAGTATGGAATCCTAGGAAATTCTTTGTGCACTTTCTAGTGGAGGAAAAAAAGACATAGTTTTCAAAACCGTCCACGGTTAGTACATACATTTATAAGGAATGCTTCGTTCCTCTCTCGAATCGATGTGGGATCTCACAATCCACCCTCCTTAGGAGCCAATGTCGGGTTTGATACCATTTGTAACCACCCAAGTCTACCACCAGTAGATATTGTTCTCTTTAAGTTTTTCCTTTCGGACTTCCCCTCAAAATTTTTTTTTTAAACACGTCTATTAGTAGGAGGTTTCCACACTTAATCACGCTATTTAACCGTTCCTATAAACCAATTTATATCCTTCAACGTGTTTGATCATTCAAAATAAATTTGTTCCAAATCAATAATGTTTAACTTCAAAGAAAAATAAAAGTACATTTTGTTGATATAGATACGGTAACTATCAATTATTTCAAGTTTTTTTCATCTAGGTCTCTCTTATTTAATTCTCGTGTCGATTCGTTCATGTACTCTCGTACTCCAACATCATGATCATTGCCAGGAAAAACCCTTTATTTGTATATATTTTCCCCAATGAATGGTGTGGTCTTATTCAAATGGAAAAGACATAGCACAAATATTTAAACCAGAGAGCATGGCATGGCATGGCATGGGTGATGGCTGGTGGCTGGTGGGTGATGGCTGATGGGTGATGGCAGGGCAGCGAGCAACTTGAAAATGGATGTTCCCTTTTGTCTATCGATGAGTCGCACTCATCACTCTCACAAAACCCCACGCTTCTTTCTCGCTATAATTGCCTCTTCTAAAAGAACTAACTCCCACAGCATTACACTTTTTGCATAGATTTGTGTGGCTTTGAAAGCAACCTTTCATGATGTTATGTGTATGGGTATAATTGTAATATTACCCGACTAGCTCGATATCGATCTGGAGCCGACCTACATTAAAGAATTATTTACAAGAGAAAAATTTTAATACGAGATCACAAAAAGTAGATACGTTTATATTACCACAAAAATTTTCTAGTACCATGAAAGTTTTCTCTAAGCTACTTATGAACAGAATGAGACAGCGATTGCGTGACACTTGTTTTAATCCAACGAACAAATCAGTTGTGAGAAATTTAAACGTCGCATACAACGTCGGCGTATATTCGAACTTCGAGTCATGTTTCCGAGAAATGTTTTAGAAAAAACAAATATCTTATTAAATGGGTATTAATTGAGGGGTCGTTGTTACTTGAAAATTGCATCCATATTCAATGTAGCATGTACTAAACATAG